CTCCGGGCTCGAGGTGGCTCAGTATATAGATTTGTTTTTATTCTCTTTCTTTTTGAGACAGAGTCTCGCTTTGTTTAGACACACAGGACAGACAGATGAGTGCCAAGCGGCGTCAGCCTAGCTCACAGCAGTACTCCATCTACCTGGGCTCAAAGCCGATCCTTCTGCCCTCCCAGCCTCCCGAAGTAGCTGGGGACTACAGGCATGCGCCACCCAGTGCCAGGCTAATTTTGTTTTTTCTATATATGATTAGTGGTCAATTATTCTGTTCTATTTATAAAGTAAGACATGGGGTCTAGCCTCACTCTTGCTCAGGCTGGTTTCAAACTCCTGACCTCGAGCGATCCTCCTACCTAAGCCTCCCAGAGTGCTGGGATGACAGGCGTGAGCCCCCGCGCCCGGCCGGGCTCAGTTGTTTGAAGGAGAGCCTCCCCATCCTTCACCCTCCTGGCACACGTAGGGGTGTACCTGTTGCGGCGGCTGGGACTGCAAAATGGCAGCCAGAGGAGGGCGTCCCCAGGGGGGCACATGGACCCAGGTCGGGACTGGCTTCCCAGGAAGCAGAGACACCAGCACCAACGGGCAGGGCGTGGCCAGAGAGCCATGGGAAGGCTGCGGTTCCCGGCGGGGCCCCTGGCAACTCTCCAGGGTCCTGACGGAGCCGCTGGCAGATAAAAATAACCCGGGCGCAGAGCGCAGAGGCGGGGCTTGCTCTGTAGCCAGCGGGTGAGACCCGCCGCCCCTCCGAAGGCAGAGCCCGGGGCCAAGTGGGGGGGACCTCCGTGCGCCCCCGCTGGGAACGAGGCCAAGCACGCAGAACTCCTCGGGCCCTGTGCTCCCACGCAGGCCGCAGCGCCATATATGCACATCTCCAGCTGCTGCCGGCGCAGCCCCAAGGCGCGGCCAGAAGGCCCTGACGTCAGGTCAGGATCCCACCGGGCAGGCGTGGACACGCTGGGCGTCCCCAGGCATCACGGTGACGCTTGAGCAAAGGGACCCCCGGAGGCGCAAAGCATAAACTGCTCGTGTGACTCTACTGAGACCCAGGTGGATTAAAACCCGGTTCTGATGTAAATAGCCAATAGGCACAACTCAGACTGAACTGCGTCGCGGGGCCGGGGCGGGGGCGGGGGCGGGGTGGGGGCGGAGGCGGCGGGCGGCGCCGGGGGCGGCGCGCGGGGCGGGCGCCGGGGGGGCGGCGCGCGCGGGGGGGGCGGGGCGCGTGTCATGCGTGGAATAGTTACTACCAGAGGGTAACGCGGCGTCCCGGCACAAATACACATCCTTCCAGCAAGCATCGGCGGGTGGAGGCGCCTGGCCAAGTGTAAAAAAATCAGTTGTAGAATGGCATGCTAAGCATGACCCCAACCTAGTGCAAAGTTCACACAACGTACTGAAGACGCCAGCCCGGGGCCGCGTGCGGCTGGCGCATGCTTAGTGGGCCGCTCGGGCGCCGCGCGCGCACGCCCACTCGGGGAGCGAGCCAGGAGGATCGGCCTTGAGCCCAGGTAGATTGAGTACTGCCTGTGAGCTAGGCTGACGCCGACTGGCACTCAGTCTAGCCTGGCAACAGAGCCAGCACTCTTCCCTGCAAAAAAAAAAAAAAAAGCAAACTTTTCCCACACGTGAACAAACACACCTGTCCTCCGCGCGCCCGGCGGCCCGACAAATGGCTCCGCTGCGGAAGCCCGGAGTCGTCCGGGCTTGGCCGGGGAAGACCTCACGTGTGCCCGTCCGCCATGGGAGCACCTCGTCCCCCACGCTCCGTTTGCCCTCCTGTCCACCCGATGTTTGGGTGCTCCCATCTCCCACAGTGGGGAGACTCGAGGCCCTGTGAGTTATTAGAACTCCCACGCAGGCAGGAACTCTCGCGGAACTCTCTGTCCCACTCAAGGCCCAGGCATAACGCACGCCCTTTCCCTGAAGGCCACACTGCCTTCCCCCAGGCAGGCTTCCCTGGCGACTGAAAACGCCCCCCACCCGTGCCGGGGGGAAGGGCCCTCCCAGTCCTGCGCTAAGGCTCTTCCGTGCCCCGCCTCTGTCTTCGCCGCGTCGGTGGCCCCAGGACAGCACCGGGCCTCTGGCAGTGGAAGGCAGCCATGCATCACCACCGCGGAGAATGTAGCCGAGCCCTTACATGACGGTGGCGTGGCCACCGCAAAAAACGCCTCATCCCCCACCCCTCGGCCTCCGTCTGCCGCCTGCACGAGCCTCTCGACTCACATGGCATGACTGACCTCTGACCCCCCGGGTCTCCGGCAGAGTCGCTTTCCAGCTGCCGAGCCGGCTGTTCTCCCGGCGTCCTGGAGAACCGCACTCCGGAACCTGGGGAGACGAGCCGCGGCGCTCCCTCTGGTCCCCCCAGTCACCGGGGACCCGCCTCCACCCTCAGTCCCGGCCAGCATACTCGTCAACCGGAAACTTCCGCTAGTCGACTGCCAGGGGTGCACCGAGGCATCCAAACGCCTTCTGGGAGATTCCGTTCTCCTTGGCCAGTGCTGCAAAAGCTGCGCCCTGTCAAAACCAGCAAGGACGATCAGATCTGCTCCCATTCCTCACGAGAGCACCGCCAGAGCGGGGCACGCCCCGGCCCGGCGGGGGGCCGCGGGCCAGAGGCACCCGGCAGGCTCCGGAGTCCGGGCCCAGCCGGCCAGGCTAGCCACAGCCCG